TTTCAAGAAATGCTATGCTGTTTTTCTTTTGGAGAAATGCCTGTGATCTGGGGGTCATTCCACAGGAGTAAGAAGACTTACAAATGGATGTTCTGTGGTTGTGCAGTGATTCTACAGAGAGAATGAATATGTGGAAGGAACCCAAAGCTTGATGCAGATGTTCCTATGGACTTAAATGGATTTGGAATTTCCCCCCGGCATTTCTGATCCTGTAGTGATTGTTTGAATACCATTAGTCCTCTGAAGTCCTGACAGATGTAGTGTGGTAGAGGTGAGAGTCCTATTTGTGGGGATTTCAGGTCTTGACCTGATAGCTAACTTAGATGTGACTACATTGATTTTTCAGCTGGTCTCACTGGCTTCCGTGTGTATAATTACAGTTGGCTAATGCAGCTACTCGATTCCCACTATGGTATTTCACCTAACTCTGATATCTCATTTAGTGCTGTAATTAGGGAGGATGTACAACTGAGGCTCTGTTATTATAGGATGAGTTTTGCTGATGATGTTCCTATAGCACTGCTTGTCCACAAATAAAGCAATGCACAGTATTATGTGAGTACTACAGAATCAGTCAAGGTTGTAAGATGCTCTGAGTGACCAGTGGAGCTTGTGGGGTAAATAGAGAGGAATAATGAAACCTAACCTTTAAGTATTCTGTATCAGGATTTTTGGTTTGGCACTTTCCATTACTTCACTGGGTTTTCCAAACAAATTGCTTGACTTGGTGGAGTCATTCAGTTCCTAACTGTATGTAGTTGTAAAAAGTTTACTTAACCATTTCATAACAAAGAAGCTCAAACACAGACGTTGTCAAATATATCACAATGTCATTGTCAGCTTGTTAAATATTTTACTTCCTTGTCAATGCTGTAAAACCAATTATTTTACAGAATGTATTGTAGTTTTGCAATTCTAAGGTTCTTTTTAATCTCAATGTTAGTTTATTCTTCAAAGTATGCTATATGTTATAATTCAGCTTTTATTTTTAGATGAGTATTTTTGCTGCTGTAAATTTGGGAGAAAAAGCCTTTGTTTGCTGAAGGAAGTTGGTTTTGTGGAGCTATATAACGGTGCCTTAATTACTACAAATGGGTAATAAACACTTTTCCATATATGAGAATAGGAGACATGCAGAGTCGCTGTGATTAGGAACAATTGGATTTTCTCTTGATAAGTTGTTAAAAAATGTAAATACTGCAAATAACTGCCTGAGGGTGTGCTAGATAACTACACTTGGAACCATGAAGCAAAAATGATTTTTACAGAAATTGCTGCTTCTCTCTGTTGGAGTTGAATACAAAGGAAACTGAATGCACGTTCATACATAAGTTGTATTTTTTCATTCTTCATGAATGTTTTGTATTAAGGTGTCTGGCATACAGATTTCTTCTTGGAAAGAGTAGAATATCAGCACAAGAGTAGTTAGAATCTAACTTAAAGGAGTGAAGGAAAGCTTATTTTTCCATTTCATAAGTTTCATAAGAAACAAACCATGCCCTTTAAGGGCTCCACAGATCCCACCAGAATAAGATCGCACTTCAAATATAGCAGAAGCTGAATATAGTGCTTCTGTCAACTTTCAGGAGCACAGACAATTCCCTTTGAGAAACTTTGGAACAAGTGGTTGCACTTAGCATACTTGACCCTTTGATTTGAGATTTAATGAATCTCAATAGGATTTTCCCTGCAATGTGTCACCAGACTGATATTTCTTTCAAACAACTTTGAGCAGTTAATGCAAAATTTCTGAACATGCTTAAAGGGAGAAAAAATGGGCTCCAAGACTTAGTCCTAGAGACTCAAATTATTAGTAATTAGAAGACTCAGAGCACTGTGATCCTTCCTGACAGATGATGTCTGTTTTCTCTGGGGGCACCAGGGCCTTGTGTTGATGTGGGAAGTTGCCTGCAATGCATGAGTGGTTCTCTCCAAATTTTCTCCCTGTAATTCTTGTTTGCTTACTCCCTGCTTGTTCAAGATGCACAGTATTACCACCTTCAACTGCTGTTTAGTTTCCCCTCAGCACAGTGTGTAGCCATAGGTTGAGCCCATTTCAGGCCTTCAAGGGCATTTAGCCAGTAGGAAATGTGAAAAGTGGGAACAGTAGTGTAATTTAGTTTATATGAAGTTGGGCTTTCATATTCAACCTGATGCTTGTCAACTAAAATGTGCAAACATCACCCCAGGGATTTTGTGAATTCTCAATAAAAAAGATACATTACTTAGATAGATTTTCTTATTTTGACTGGAGGCAATTAATACTTAAAGGAATTGTTTTTCCTGAGCATTTTCTTGTGGCACCAGTCTAATGATTTTTGCCTTTCTGATCAATTTTACTTTACCCCTTCTTTGCTGGACTCTGTTACCTGTTGCAGCTGTTTCCCCACAGGCTTTCTGTGGTAATCCTCAGTAGAATAAAAGCAAAATACTTGCAGGGATTCAGGTATGCCTTCGACAGGAATTGAAAGCCTTCCTTTAGAACAGGAAGAGGATGAGACTGCGTAATGCTGTTTGATTGAGCCATAAATACAGAATGAAATAAGAAAACATGTTTTTTGAATGCTTCAGGAGTATCAACTTCACTTGAAACCAGAAAGAATGAGCTGTTCAACTGGTTGCTAACAAAGACAAGAACCCAGATTTTTAAATTTGTTTCTAACTAGAATATAGTAATGCCATGGTTTAATGTTTACACATTATAATTGGCTTTGTTTTAGGGTTGAATGCTTCTAAGTGATGCTGGCTGTCTTCTTTTCTTAGAATAATTCAGACTAGTAAATTTCTTTCATAGGAGATGCACAAAAGGCTTTTGCTCTGTTCTATCATCACAACCTTGAAAAGGATTGTGTCAACTGGACCCTGAAGCTGTTCTCTAGAACTGTTGTATCTAATGGAGTTCCTGTCTTTCTCAATCTGTATGAAAGCTGTGAAGATCCAGTCTTGATCTCTGCTTTCTTAAATACCTGACAAATGTGCAGCTCCTCTGTACAGAGGGTCTGCACACAGACCTTTGAGAACTTAGGAACTCTGGAAGAAATGGGTGAAAACAGTGCAGTGCAGGTCCAAATCACTTTGGATTCATGGATTTCTTACAAATTTATAGGAAACTTCATCACTGCTGTACTCTGCTCAATTCTTGCATTACATTGTGAATCTTCTTGTTGTAAGAAGTTGTCATGCCATAAATTGGGAAGAGAGCAACAAAAGATAAATTAGCTGTACCATCCTGTGTATGGAAGATTGCAGGATATATTTTTCTCCATACAAGACTCCCATCATCCCCACCTCTTAAAATGAAGACTGGTGAATAATGGCTTAGTCAAGCAATAAATACATAATCTAATGCCACCTTTGACCCTTATAGCTTGTGTGTAGGTCAAAGATTATTTGAGTTGTAATTGTGATTTATGCTTTCAGTCTTTTGATATTTTTTAGATAATCTTTGCTTGTCTGTTGGTACTACTAATTATTTAATTAGTCTATTTTTACGATAAAACAGTGATCCTGCTGGCACTACTAGAAAGTACTTTTTTCTGAATATAAAATCAAACTGTGTAACTCATTGTATTGAGTTAGGCAAGACTGTTCAGAAAAATGCGAATATTTGCATGAGTGAATATGCTGCATGAGTAAACATGCCTATGTAAGTGCTTATTAAATTAACAAATTGTGAAAGGAAACTTATTATATGTAACAAGTTTAGCAATGGTGTGTCTTTTAATAAATAATGTAACCTTACTTCCTAGTTGCTACAGAATGGTAATTATACAAAGAATTCTTGACAGCTTTCAAATTAATTTCTCTCACACTGATTGAGAGGAAAATTTAAGCTTTACCAATGAATGATGACTCTGCATCTCAGGGAGCTTCCAAACTTAATGTTATTTCATGTTAAAGTGCATCAATCATCCCTTAAGCGTAACTTGACAAACTAATTTGGTAGTGGCAAATGCTGGTTTTCATGTCTTGGGCTTTTGTTGATTCTTTACTGTACCTGAGGCAGAGGCTTATGTAGTTTGTGGCAAAGAGTTTTCTGACTTGGTAATTAAAGCAAATGTTGTCACTAAGTTCCCCTCTTTTTTTTATTCCTGCCTTTTGGTTTGCATGCTGTCTCTTAGCTGCAAATAAAAGAATGTGAAATCTCAAGTGTGAAGTAGTATATAGTTTGCATAAAGCTGTGTTCTTACACTTTCAGGCTGAGCAGCCAGATTTGGTGGTGACTTAGTGAAATGCTTCTGCAAAGCAGCTCCACAGCTTCCATTCAAATGCTCTGGATGGACTTGCTTTCCTTTTTGGTTATTTCATTTACTCTGCAAAATGAAGATAATTGTACTGAGGAGCAATGGGTGCTCTTGCCATGGTTTACTTCCCAAAGAACCTCAGTGTGTAGCTTTTGTGCTGTGGCTTGTGCTAACATTTGGTAAATTAGTTTTGTGCTCCTTGTTCTTGAGTCCAAGAGACAATTAGGGTAGGTTCTTCTCTTAGAAACTGGATTTCTGGTATAAATTGGCAGTGACACAGCAACCAAGAGAATCAAATTATTCTGTCTTTACTGGTAGAGTCTTGGAGATTTGTCACCTCAGAGGTGAATGACAGACCTTATCCCTTCCTTTTTCTTTCAACTCATACTTGAACACATCTGTGTAAACACACATTTGACATCTCATGTTACTGAAAATCTCAGGCTTGATCTCATTAGACTTTTATTCTGTTGTAAAGAATTTCTGGGGTGAAGGGGAATGATGGCTGTCTCTGGGAGGGATGGTGGAATACGTGTAGCCTGAGTGTATGGAATGGTTGCATAGCACAGAGTGCAGCTAAACTGACACAGCAGTGCTGGGGTGGTATTACCATGTGGTTCCAAGTTAAGTTTTAAACCTGCTGCTTTTAAAACATATGACCCAAAGGTTTCAAAATCATGCTGTTTTCTGTACTGTTATTGATGCTTTAATACAGTTGTAGCTATATTAATATATCATTTTAACTTTGCATTTCAGTTCTAATTACCTGACTTATACCACCAACTTCCTGGGAGCCCAAACATGACCCATCTGAAGAAAACCTCAGAACAGCAACAGTTAAATGTAAGTGGTACTGAATATATACAGTTAACAATGAAGTATAATTGCAAGGAATAATATTTGGATTAGATGAGTATATTTAAGCCCCAGGGCATTGTGACAGATGCAATACAAGGCCTAATAAACTACAGGTCCCTTCTGCCAGTATTACTATATAGGAGCAATGATAACACTGTGATAGCAAAAACATCCATCAAAAGCTGGCAAATCTGACACAGATTATATGTATGCACATGTATATACTAAAGATGCTAGTTAAATTTGATGGAACATCTAGCAAAATTTTTCAGTGGTCTTAATGAAACAACATCTTGTGCTTAACCTTTCTTTCATGAGAGGTTGTTTTTAAGAAACAATCCTCTGAGTGTTTGTGGGGAAAGTTCCTTGTAATTATAAGAGTGAACACAATATGTTGCTGATAAATCATAGGTATAATAGCTCTATTCAGAGAGGAGCTGGGTTAAAACTTCAAACTTATTGAATATACGTACTTATTTTTAGTACAGAAACTGTGCCTTTCTTGCTATATATTCCTCTCAAACTGCTAGACAAATGTCTCTTGTTTCAGATTGTGGGTGGCCCAGTTGCAGATGTATGTAGAAGAAACCAGAAAAATAAGGCATGTACAGTTAAAGCGTTTGTGTGTGGGTAGTTGTTTGAAAAGAAGTTTCCAAACAAATTCCAAGAAGGACATTCTTTTAAGGTGACCAGACTGTCATTGCTGTTAGTCCCTTGAGCACCCTGGGCAGGGGGCTGACCTCTTTATTTGAGCTAGCAGCATTGCCTCTGGGATACAGCCCTGACTTATGATTTTGGCAGATGTGACAGATTTAGTAGTAGCCCAATGGACCACATCTTAATTCACCCTATTTTGAAATATCCATTCAAATAAGTATCTATACATCTATCTATATATTGGTTAAAGTATGTATTTGGGATGGAAGCTGCAAGCATCACTTAATTTTTATGGCAAGGTTAGAAAAAAAAATGCCAGATGTCCTAGCTAAGAACTGCAAGCTGCATGTTATGTGATTTTTCAAAATGTTGGTGTGAATTAAAAAAAGTCACAGTTCAGCTGTGTGTATGGAGCTGTTCTTCAAGTGTTTTTATTCTTCACTTGTGCTAAACACACAAGTTCAGAGTTCAACTTCCAGATCAATTGTCAGTGTTTTTGGCTCGGATTTTTAAAAAAGATGTTGAAAAGTGAATGTTCTAAATGACTCCTGTGTTGTGTGCCTTCCCTAAGAAACAGACGCATTTCACTGTAATCTCACACATCTCTGCTGCATCTCCTGCTTTTGGCTATGTAGTTTTTATTTTTTTTCCCTGCCTGGGTCCCTTTGTGTCAGACTTAGCTACTGACCTACTGAGCAGTGATAGCTGGGTTGCTGTGCTTACTGAGCACTAGAAACCATGTAGAGATGCTTGTTAATTGTTGTTGAATTTCTGGAATTTCAGCACCTGAAATAGACAAAGTGGTTCCTAACTCAGGTTGTAATATATTACTCCACAGCAGTTCTTGAAGGTGGTATTTTTAAGACTGTTCTTTGCATATCTTATTTAACATATTTGTAGCTTAAGACCAATGAAATAGTGTCAGGTTTTGATTGTTTTTTTCCCCTCAATGTGTGATATACTCAGAGTTCCTGAAGAGAGAGGGTTTGTTTATGTTGTGGTGTGTTCTGCTGCAGGAGCTTAATATATTAAACATTTTCCCAAAGGATAGCTGTGGTCTTTAATTAACTTTTTTCCCATAGGCCTATAATACAGTATTATACAATATTTGGTCAGTACCCTACTTTTCTGCTCTTGTGTAGGACTTATTGGTTCTTGTTTCCTGAGGGAGCATTATGAGTGCTGACAGGAAGAATGCATCAAATGAAAGTTAATTGTGTTTAAGCTGTAAGAGAAACTGAACAGCTAAATATGCAGTTTCCTATGCTGCTAACCCATGAAAGCATAGAAAAAAATACTTCAATCACAGAGGACAAAATATAAAATCCAGCCACAGAAATCTTCATGCTTGATTTTGAAAGTTGTCTACAAGATGATGGACGTAAGCACATGCTAGTATTTATAGTGGTTACTTCCTCAGGGAAGAAAAAATTCTACATGCTGTTCGAAGGCTGCTATGATCTTGTTATCCCAAATCTGTTGTGCACAGAAGCAAAGATGATGGATGGCATGTAGGAACTCATCCTGTTACATGTTCATTGTAAATCATTACAGTGTATTCGACAGGCTGTGGGCAGCTTCATGCCAAAACCTTGTCTGGCATGTGTGTTTGTGGAGGAAACCAAATGGATCACATCTGAGACTAGATTGAGAGTAACCTTGTACAGTTACGAGCATTCTAGAATCAGCTCCATGCCTTACCCATGCAAAATTTCATTTTGTGCAAGGACATGAGTTCCCAAGTGGGTGATAACCTGAGAAATAGCAGCTGTTTCAGAGCAGGATTTCCAATAACCTTCTCATTTGAGATGTCCCTATTGCTTATAAGACATTTTCATTGGAAAAGCTCCAACTGTCAGCAGCAATTTACCCAGCAGCGTTTTGTTAGTTTCTACCCTAATATGTTTAATGGGGCTTTGTGAAACTGGATCTTCAGAAGTCTGATCTGAGGAAAGGTATTTTTCCTCTGGTTTTGGTTATCCTATTCCAGACTCCTATTTTTAGGCTTAAAGTTTTATCTGAACTGAAATTTAGTAAAACATGCTGGGTCAAAAACTGCATGTCTTCTGTCTCAGTTATATGCCATCTACTCAAAACAATCTTCTCTAGTATTGAAATTTCAGGACAGCTTTAATTCATATTTCTTTGAAATGTAGCAATAGTTTACTCAGATTTATGAACCAGAGATCAGAGTGACCATGACTTGAGTGTCAGGTTTGTAACACAGTGAAAATGTGTGATGCTTGACCAGAAGAGAGCTTCATTACATTCCACTAAATACAGCATAGAGTATGGGAGAAAGTGCGAATGGCGAAGGGAAGCCAGACCAAGTGCTCGTGTATGATAATTCACTTGAAATCTGACTTGAATATTGTCATAGTCTGTAGTGTGCTGAGACTAGCATCCATTGAATAAGAGCAGCTCAAAGCACTCCTTAATAGTGAGCATGTGTGTTCTTGTAAATCAAAATAATTAACTGGTGTGCTGGGATCTAATCTGCCAAATACACGTGGCAAGCTACATCACCATTGAGGCTTTATTACTTGGATGGTTGTAGCCTCTAGAGATCTTAATTGAGGCTTCATTGCACTGTTCAAACACTTAATTAAAAAAAAAAAACAACCCCTACCCCATGACTTTAGTCTACTCTCCAGATGCTGCAAATACCTTCATGATCCTACTTCTGCTATTGAGAGTAAGTTTGAAAATTAGTGAGATCAGCACAAAATAAAATTCCAGCTTACAGTGAACTCAGTATTCCTCTACCATTTGTGGTAAGGCCAATACTGATGTTACTGTTTGACCAAGGCAAATGATTAGCAAACATCTGTTCACTTGCTAGAACATGATAAACCTTGTCACAGCAGAATCTGAGATGCTATGCCTTTTATTCCCACAATGCACTCTGCATTTTATCATCAATATGATGTGACAGCATGTGACTGCTGCTTCCAAACAGTGGAAGTATCTTTGCCCAGGGATTTTTACAGCCAATCCAGCTAAATAAAAATAGTTTTCTGGAAGGGATCTTGGGGAAAAACAAAATAAGCAAAAACAATAAATCCTCACTTCTCAGTGTGTAGGAATTCCCACATGCACTTGCTTGCTGCTTTTTGCAGGACTGCATAGATGAAGTACTGAAAAGCACTGGAGCTTTTCTCTCCTCCAGCACAAAGGTTTTTGTTAAGAATGCAGGTGCACAGATGCTGTTGTGCCTCACTTTAACTGCTATGCTTCTAATCCCCAAACAAGATTTGGTTGAGACACCCAGGCTATTTGTACAAAGCGTGTATTAGATATCACTTAGACATGATATTTTAATTGAAATCTACAAAAATATGCAACTGTATTCCCAGTTGAAAATGAAGAATATACTATTTAACTCATTTGTAAGCACAAACACACAAGCTAGTAATTTTCTTGGATATTTTTATTTGATAGGCTTTTCTCTGTTGGGCATTACAGAGACTGTCCTTTTATCAAATTATTTTCATATGTTTTTTTCCACAGTCTAAAAATGAATATAGAATTGATGCTACACTTTTAATCTTGGTGACAATGTATTATAAAAATCTCTCCTGACAGCAGATGACATTAACTGTGATTAAAATAACTGGCAGTGGTTTGATGATAAGCTGTAAAGGGGTGCTTTTAACTACCTTCTTAACCTTCATTTCTTTTAATGAGACACTGTTAGATAAAACTTGGTGTCATCATGACTTAAGCACACAACTTCAGTTACAAGGAGATAGAAATAATCACAGCTCATGTTTGTTCATGGAGAGATCTTGGAAGATATTGTAGGAATTTTTATTAAAAATATTGAATGGGATTGCTTTCTTGTATAGATAAAGGAGATGCCTGCAAGACAAGCACAGTTCTGCATGGAGGTGGGAGTGAAGAATAATCATGCACATTCATTAATTTGTAATAATCTATGATTTACGATACTGATTAAATAACCAATCTTATTCAGTCCTTATAGGGAAAATCAAGGTTAACAGCATTATTACATGGTATGTTTACTGAATATATAAGACCAATTCCTACTGAACTTGTACCTTTCTGCCAATCGAAGGTTGCTTGTGCCGTAGAAACAGTCACCAAAGGAACTCCAGTTAGAATGCCATGGCACTTTGCACTGCAGGATGTAGAAACAACTTGGCAGTATTGGGGATGAGAGCAGGTCATCTTTCAGTCTATCTACGTGTTATCTGTGAAGTAATGACTACATATGATTTTTTTTTTTCCATGTATGTACTTAAGGATTGAAATATTTCAGATAAATTGGTAGTGGTGGGGAGGTAAAGGCACAGCTGCACATTTTT